CCTCCACTCACTCAAGGCCGCGGTGTGTGACGCTTTTTCGTTGTGAAAGCGAAACTACTTTGTTTGGCCTTCCAAAAGAGGACGATATCCGCTTCGTCATGCCTAGAGCTGATCTGTGCTGGTCGCTGAGGGAATACATTAACTTTCACCGTGGACGAAGCGGAGTCCAGTCCGGGGTCGTCACATGTGGTTGCCGCAAGCCCGCTGGCCGCGCCGTTCTCAAGCCCGCCCGCCTCTGCTCACTCAAGCCGGCCTCCGCATACTCTAGGCCGCGGCTCAATCTAGGCCTCCGGCCTCCGCTCACTCTAGCCGCAGGTCTCCGCTCACTCAAGCCCACCGTGTGTGACGCCGTGTGTTTCGTTGTGAAAGCTAAACTACTTTGTTTGGCCTTCCAAAAGAGGACACGACTAGAAATCAGTGGTTAAATTGTATTTACAGCACTGTTCCAGAACAGTTCATATTAGAGGTCTGCATTCGACCAAATTTTTTGCACCGCGGGATTAAATTCCCGAATAAAACGCGGTAGCGGTCGGTAACTCTGGTGTAATTTGAACGGGAAAGGTCTAACAATATCCCGTTCCCGATGTCCATTTAGAACAGCATATCTGCGCTTTATTCTTATTGACCATAAATATGGTAAGGGGCGTAACATTTCCGTCACACGCTTGAGGTATTCGGCCAATCACAACGCACTGGATAGCTGGCCAATCAGAGCACACCTCGCTTTTCAGACCGATGAGCTTTGCAAAAATCGAAGCGTTTCAGAAAGGCGGGGCATAGAGTAGGCCTGTTGAAATAATCAATATATCGACTTATCGAGCAATATATGTACATGACCTCAATAATTTTTGGTGACGCAATATATCGCCCATTATATTTACTTAAAAAATAATTTCACCATGTTTTGTACATTCCACTTGCGCCTGTGTCTTTTGCAGCTTCTCGTACATAACGTGGTGTAGTCATGAGGTGCTAGTTCAAATTTAAAAAATGCTTCTACAAAAAAAAGTTTCATCTGCAGATATGATCTTGTTTAGGGATCTGTGCCTTTGTGCATACGGACATCTGACTGCTAAGTAGTGATTGTGTTTTTCAGCAATAGTGTGCACCCTTAATTTACAGAGAAAAGAAGGTCAGGGAAAAATCTGTAGATGGAAAAATCTCCAGACAAGTTCTGTGTGCATTTTTGTTTCTACTTGTTACTTTGCACTTTTTGTTAGAAAATGTTTATTTACTATTTATTCAGGTTTTTTAAGGTATCTAATATTTTGATACTCAATTTCCATAATCTAAATATTCTTAAAAATTAAAAGTTTGTTGTCATTTGAAAGTGTCTAGGCCTTCTTGCATTTTTATGCTGTTACATTATGATTATATATTCAGTGGCATAAAATGGGTTTGTTGTCATTTGGAAGTGTGTTGGGCATCTTGCATTATTATGCTGTTACATTATGATTATATATTCAGTAGCATAAAATGGTCTTTAAAATGACAATAATATCGCTTATCGCAATTATTTCTGGGGCAATATATCGCACAACAAAAAGTTGTTATCGTGACAGGCCTAGCATAGAGGAAAAACAATAATGTACAGTATGTGGAAAATCATGTGCTTTTTTTAACCTTAAACCGCATAAAGACATTTCATTACACCAAATACACAAAATAATGTTCTTTTTAGCAACATCATATGACCCCTTTAATAAGGTGAGTCTGAGACAATTATTTGACAGTGATTTCACATTTCTTGTTTGAATAAAGGCTAAATACAAATAAAAGGTGAACATTAATTTATGTGCTGTTTTTGTTCTAAAATATTATATGGTTTTATATGAGGTGTCATAGACTTGGCAAATTCATTTTTCATAAATTTGTATGCACAGACATCTGTTGTGGGCGTTCTTGGCTGTTTTTACGAGGCTTTAATAGTGTTCATATTGATATCAGAGTTATATCGTATCGACCGAAATTAAGAAATATATCGTGAAAAAAATTTTGGCCATATCGTCCAGCCCTATTACAACGGCACCTGTCAAGAGGTGGGATATATTAGGCAGCAAGTGAACAGTCAGTTTTTGAATTGCAAGTGTTGAAAGCAGGTGAAAAATAGTGATGGGTAGAGAAATGGGTCAGAGGATCTCCAAAACAGCAAGTCTTGTGGGGTATTCCCGGAATGAAGTGGTTAGGAATGAATATTGTAACCAACAAGTCTAAACTTGAATCCCTCGGAGGAAGGTTATGTGCGAGATTACTTGATTAAATGGAACAGCTGCTGCTAGTCAACTTTGGAAATACTAGTCCACTAGTCAATATTCAGGCATTTTAATGATACGTTTAAAAAAAATAATACATTATTTTGAAAGTTTACATCTGAAGCAGAAAACAAATACATTTAATTTCACCTCAGACCTTGCATGCTTGTGTCACTGTGTGCACAGAGAAATGTCCACTTGGAAGTCGAGCAAGCTGTGGGAGCGTATTTACTAGTTTAAAGGGAGAAACAATATGAATGAAAATGAACTGACTTTTAGAAAGGTTTCCTTGACATTTTTAATGCCTAATAAAATATTGTTTATAGGCACAGCGCTGCTTTGTTTACAGGAGTAACCACTGTAATTTTGCTTTTCTGAAAGCACCACCTACTGTCAGAGATTGAATTTGCATTTTCATTCATCCCGTCTGTTTTTTTGTGTTTGTTTTTTGCAGTCAGTGTTGTAAATTTTAACCACTTGATGTAAAATAAGAACAATTTGGATAATAAAGTATCTGGAATTATTTGACTGTTTGATTCATAGTTTAAGTACTTCAAATGGATCACATATACACACAATGGTTTTGACGGTCTTCTGAGGGATTCAAGTTTAGACTTGTCAGTTACAAAAAATTATGTTTAAACGTCAATGAAATTAGTAGTAGCGCACATCCCTAGTTAGTACCTATCAAAAGTGGTGCAAGGAAGGACAACCAGTAAATTGGTGTCAGCGTCCTGACTCATGAGCGGCAAAGGCTCACTGATGCACATAGGTTCGATCACACAGAAGAGCTACTGTAGCTCAGATTGGTGAAAAACAAAATTTCCGACCATGACACAAAGGTGTCAGAACACACAGTGCATTGCAGTTTGCTTCTTATGGGGCTGTGTAGCGACAGACCTGTCAGAGTGCCCATGATGATCCCTGCCCACCACGGAACTGATCATGGAGCAATAGAAGATTAGGCAGGTGGTTTTAATATTGTGGCTGATCAGTGAATAGTACAAGTATACTACGTGCCTTTCGTCATCTGCAATCAAGGAATTTGAGGGAGTTTAGAAACAGTGCTTACTAATAGAAAATAACTCCCTTTGAAATGGACTTTGTGCTTGGTAATTTTGCAATCACATGCACAAACTGAAACATTACACACTAAAGGAAGTAGAAAGTGCAAAAGAGCATAATGGGACTCCTTTAAAGCACAAAATAATTTTAAATGTGTATGTTTTGCATATCTAAAGCATATAAAGTAAATAAACTAGTCGTAATCAACTGACCTTTTTACATAAACCATAAAAACGTACGCATGGCCTGCTCATATCAATAGCTCATCAGTCTTTGGTCCAAGTCTGAACTGTTCAGTGTACCATTAAACTAACTGGGGAACTGAATAATTTGGCAAAATAGGAAAAATATTTACATTTTTCCATATAAACAAAATACAGCATACAATTGCAAAACATATACACATACTTATGACCTCCATGTATAGCTCTAGTTAATAAAAGTGTCCATTTGACAAATAGCAACAGAACAAAGTGAATACTGAAGAAAGAAAAAGAGCTTTCTTTTACAACGCATGCACAAAAAAACAACCAATATGTCCTAGGATATATAGGGAGGAGAACATAAATTATCAACCTCACCTGTAAATTTAAAGTTATTCCCTAATTCAGATTTAAATCTTGAGTTTAAAGTTATGGAGCAATAGGATTAAAATGAATCTTAAATATAAATTCAATCCAGGATCAAAATGATGGTTTAAATGTAAACCTGCTTATTTTTAAACAAGGTTTAAAGATTGGTGCAACAGAAATTTTGGATAAACTTTGATTTAATCTAGATTTATAAGGATTTCATAGCTTATCATAAATCTGTGGACTTATTATATATTTTTTTTTTTCCTTTTTAGCCAATTGCAAACAGGACAATAAAAAAACAACCAATATGTCCTAGGATATATAGGGAGGAGAACATAAATTATCAACCTCACCTGTAAATTTAAAGTTATTCCCTAATTCAGATTTAAATCTTGAGTTTAAAGTTATGGAGCAATAGGATTAAAATGAATCTTAAATATAAATTCAATCCAGGATCAAAATGATGGTTTAAATGTAAACCTGCTTATTTTTAAACAAGGTTTAAAGATTGGTGCAACAGAAATTTTGGATAAACTTTGATTTAATCTAGATTTAGGTTTAATCCTTATTGGTGCAACCCACCCAATATGTAATCTAGTATGGCTTCACACGGTGTCACGAATCACGATTACGATCTATTTTCCATGTTCGGTGAGCTCAAGTGATGATGTTGGAGTATCGCTCGCTATTTGCTATCGCTTAATCAAATGGCACTTTTGTTATAAATACGCAAGCAACACAAGGCAACATATTTGTTCATGATTTTCTAACCTTTCCCATTTCAACACCAACTCTGCCTCAGGAGCCGCCATCCAGTACGTCTGTTAAGTGCATAAATTCCACACTTCCTAGAGCGGAACTATGACGTCTCTTTGTTGGCCAATCGGCTGTTAGCATCACACCTCAAACCATAGACATAATAAATACTTAGACGCCTCATTGGCCGCTCGACCGCACGTCAACGTCGCCGCCATATTGGTGAAGGCAACTCTCATATCGGGACAGGCCAAAACATACCTGACTCGTCGGCAGCTTGGGCATCTACAAACCGTCGCACAATAATAAAAACAGATCTCGGGGTATTATCTTTCACAGGTAAGACTGAACAGTGTTTTCTGTATGTTTTTTGGTCATTTTTAGCTTTATGTTGACAGCTTAATTAGCCACCAGTGTCAGACTATTAATAGCTAGCGACATTGCTAGTAAGCTGTGGAAGCTGAGACTTTATATTCATTATTGTCTATTCTGTATTATTCCACCCTTGATATTACATATTTCATCTATTGTTATTTATTTATTTATTATGGTATTATACATATAATTTATTCTATTATAACTCTATTATATACTGTTGTACTCGCTTTTATATTATTCACTTTACTACAACTTGTACTACATATACTTTTTAATATTACATATCACTTTTACTGTGCACTGTATCAGTGCATAATATTTTACCACTGTAACTGTAAGTTTTACTGGATCCATAAAGGATTATCAGTTGCATTTGTTATTGTTTGTTGTGGAGTTTATCTGTATAGAGTGCTATCAAAATAAAAAGCAGACTACCAAGAGTGTCACAAAGATGTATTATTTAGATTTTCTTCCAGTATTTCAAAGGGAATGAGCTGTGTTCTGACCTGAAGCACAAGAAAAGCTAAAATGTTGGGGTTGAAGACAGAGAAAGCAATGAAACAACTTAATTTCATTTAATGTACCTTAAAATTACAAAACATGTATATGTAACAGTTATAGTACATTAACATTTAGAATTGAAAACCGAAAAAATCAATCAAATCAACAAGTGAGACAAGTGTGCTCTCACAATTTCTTACGAAAATTAATCATTTTCCAAACCTAACTAAATAACTGGAGACAGAGTTATTTTTAACTCCATGTAGATCACGAGCCTCTGAAATCGGTTGATAAATGTAAACGTTATGGTGTTTTTATCCAGAAAAAAACGCAGCTCCCCCATTTACCTCCATTTATTTTTAAGGCAGTCATGCCTTCACAAACATGGCGGACGCATTGACGTATCGCAGCAACGGCTCAAAGCGGCCAATGAGGCGTCTAGGTATTTATTATGTCTATGCCTCAGACTGTGATGACGTATGTGGGCGGAGTCTATCTGGTGGCAGAAACTGCCAGTTTTAAAGTAGCAGTCTATGCAAGCCATGGAATAAAAGAATAAAAAAGGTACATTTTGAGTTTTTATTTAAAAATTCTGACTTTTTTCTTGCAATTCCGAGATTATATCTCACAATTCTGATAAGAAAAAAAACAGGTCGTCATTCTCTCTTTATCCCCTCGGCTCAGAATCATGAGATTATATCCCACACTTCTGGCTTTTGTTCCTCCTCAGAATTGGCAAACTCGCAATTGTTGAGGTAAATCAAGTTATAAAGTCCGAACTAGGAGATTTAAACTTGCATTTGCGAGAAAAAAAGAAGTCAGAATTGTGAGATAAAATAGGTAGGCTAAATGTAATGTAAAATGTTATAGGTTTAAATAGTATTTCATGCTTTAACTGTAGGGCTAATACAATATGTCCCCTATGTGAATATTATATAGACCTATTGTTTAAATCAAATTTATGCTTTAAAAGTAGGGTAATCGTAGCAGGTTTCATCCACAGTTTGTCCGTTTAAACGTCTGCGTTTAGCTTCAAATGGCGTCTTTGACGACAG